ACAACACGACACATTCACAATTCCAGCTTTCACCGCGCAGGAATAAATTGTTGCGGGTGTGACCTGTATCCTTTATCATCTAGGAATCCACTTGTTTTGCCGAACGCCACTGCATTGGTACAGGCTGGGGATTGATCCGAGGGCTCGCCACGCCACTGCGGAGGATGCGGAAAGGACGCAAGAAGACGGTGACGGCAACAAATTACCCGCCCTGGTCGTCAGCTCACTGAATGTCCTTCCGCGCGAGCGAAACCGGCTGCAAGGCATGAAAAGCCTACTGCCAGTCAATACCCAGGGACGACCCTGACCAGAAGGCCAAGGCCGCCCCGTGGAGGAGGCCAACAAAGAGAAAACCAGGAGCTAACAAATCTGCTTCCTCTCCGCGAAATTTTTTTCACACACACACACACACACACACACACACGCACGCACGCACGCACACACGAGCAAACACACACACTCAAACTCCTGCTCCTGCTCTCTCTCCACTCTTTCTCTCCTCACGATCTGTGCATGTACAGTCCTACGTCCACGCATGCAGCTTGGCACGGTGGATGCTTGGCACTAGCTGAGCTTGGGAGGCGTGGACTCCTGGAGCCAGGTCGTCTTGCTGAAGGTAAGGGGTTTCTTTGCCGGTTGTGCTTCGATGATGCCCTGTCCAAGCCATTGTGGTTGTTAGTAGTAGATCTACTAGTAATCGGTTTTCATTTGACCCGATGAGACCCCTATAGAAAGCTATAGCCTGTATTGACATGATTAGGGGTTGCGAGCATCAGAATACGAGGCCGGGCATAATTGTGGTGGAGGGAGTGAGCAAACGCTATGTTTTTTAACAACTTTGAAATGGGAGAAGAGAGTGGGCCATTTGATGCGGTGTAGGAGGTCAGAGTGGTTAATGTGGGCGTAGAGAGGGAGGCGGAGGCATAATCGTGCGGCTTTCCGCTGGCTTCTCTCTAGCTTAGCTTGTCTAAGCTAGTGTGGGATATGGGTGTTACGGCAATGCTTGTCTAAGCTAGTGTGGGATATGGGTGTTACGGCAATGCTTGTCTAAGCTAGTAGTGTGGGATATGGGTGTTACGGCATTGCTTGTCTAAGCTAGTGTGGGATATGGGTGTTACGGCATTGCTTGTCTAAGCTAGTGTGGGATATGGGTGTTACGGCAATGCTTGTCTAAGCTAGTGTGGGATATGGGTGTTACGGCAATGCTTGTCTAAGCTAGTGTGGGATATGGGTGTTACGGCAATGCTTGTCTAAGCTAGTGTGGGATATGGGTGTTACGGCATTGCTTGTCTAAGCAGCTAGTGTGGGATATGGGTGTTACGGCATTGCTTGTCTAAGCTAGTGTGGGATATGGGTGTTACGGCAATGCTTGTCTAAGCTAGTGTGGGATATGGGTGTTACGGCATTGCTTGTCTAAGCTAGTGTGGGATATGGGTGTTACGGCATTGCTTGTCTAAGCTAGTGTGGGATATGGGTGTTACGGCAATGCTTGTCTAAGCTAGTGTGGGATATGGGTGTTACGGCAATGCTTGTCTAAGCTAGTGTGGGATATGGGTGTTACGGCATTGCTTGTCTAAGCTAGTGTGGGATATGGGGGTTACGGCATTGCTTGCGTAAGACTACAGTGAAACAGCTGTCTAAGGCGACCGCTCAAGGGACCTTCAAAATGTGCTCTCCGTATACAGGTGGTCTCCTTATCCAGGGTTTATTTGACTGGAAATAACACCCCTTGGTCATAGTTGTAGTGGTCCTCTCTTGGACAGGTGGTCGCCTTATCCGAGTGGTCGCATTCACAGATTTTACTGTACAAGGGTGGGATATGCGTGAAGTATAGTCACACTCGTAATTCACGCGAAAAAAAGTTTGTGCGGCTTATACTACGGTGAGCAACTGAACCGTGAAATACAGGGTAGATTTCAGTATTTCGTGACCAAAAAATCTGTGTGTGGCTTATACTCCAGTGTTGCTTATACCCCGGAAAATTCGGTAAATGTCTGTTTAGGATAGGTATCGCTGACTGGGAAAAAATAAAGTAAAAGGAAAAAATGTGTGTGTGGGGGGGGGGGGGGGGTCCGAGAGAATTTTGCGCGAGGACGGATTTTTCTTCGATAATTGCGGACGCCCCCTTAAACTAGTTTTCTTCTAAAGGCAAGGCAGACCAAGGAAAGTGATACGAGGTGATGTCACTCTAGATAAGTTTTTCATTCCAGTTATAGGTGCATCCAGTTCGCTATGAAGCCGAGACCTTAGGTCGGCCGAATACACTAGGTCTCACCACCATTTTTTGTTCCCCGATTATAACCAGGTTGGGGACCATGGGCACTTGTACAAAAAAAGAGAAATAAAGTTACATGCCTACAGGTGCGTAGCTTGCATGGGCACGGGGGGGGGGGGGGGGGGGGCACGTGCACCCCCCCCCCCCCTAAAAATGTCGACCTAGGTTGAGCATGCACGTTATGACCATGAAGGACATGCACCAGCCATCCTACACGTACATTTGAATGCGGCTGTGCACCCACCCACCCCTGATAGGGGGACCAGCTATGCCCATGTGCCTAAGATGATACACAGCGTACCTTGATGCGTCTGATGATGCGTTCAACATGAATCCGACATGAAGACAGCTTCCTGGATGAAACTTCCTGTGGAAGGGGCAGACAGCTGTGGCCTGTTACGTGAAGGTTGGGGTCACATGAGATACACCGTCTGACCGCAAGTCTCCAGTCGGGAAACCGCGGTCACCCTTCATCACACATCCCCGGACCCCAGGTTTGACTTAGGACCGGAGGAATGCTGCACAATGAATGGCATTGTCAGTTTGCCGCCCGCCATACAGCTTGGAGGCAAACGCAACAGCACCACGTGAAGCTAATGGCTACCAGTGTCTTGTTCGCACGCTGTTGTGGTGTTTGTAACTGCTGAATCATTCACTTTGTACCCGGACTGATCTCTGACCATCACAACACAACTGTCCAGTTCTCGCTCCACATACTCCGACATAACGACATGGACCCAGACAACAGAGGCAGGAGCACACAGAGTGAGGGTAGTAGGCCGCAGCCAGATGTGAACCGGAATGCAGAAGAAAACTAGGAGCAACAACAGGGGTACAGACCCCAGGAGGAAAGAATGAGTACATTCACCTACATAAATAAGCCAGGACAAGCACCACTTGGGACCGTCAGATTAATTTCTCTGGACCGAGCCAGCCGGGAAAAAACCCTCGCGCCGACGGACGCACGAATGAGGGAAAAAACCGGGTGTATAACCCCAAGTGGCAACATGGCAGCATAAAAACAGGCACAACATATCAACAGCCAAGAAAGAAATGGAAGAAGATGGACAGACATGAAGGGTGGGAGGGTGGGGACACTGGTGAGACACAAAAAACTGACTCAAGGAGTCAGGCAAAAAGAGCAGCAACAAAAAGAGAAATCAGATTCCATATTCGCAAGAAAAATAATTTTGTTGCACGAGAAATCATTTCTCGCCTCACTTGCTCCGCTCGGCCGGCGAGAAATATAACCTTTTCTTTCACCCGTTTTCCATCCTCAGCAGCCCTGGGCAACATATCCTGTGTGTCGTCCTGGCGACCAAGAAACGCAGATCCCGAATTTCTCTGGTCTCCTCGCGCACTGACGCCAGTGACAGTGTTGCTCCTCTCAGTGGCGATTGCTTGGGAGTCTGCCTGGCGGATGCTGCCAGGATCCCTCTGCTGCTCCTGATCAGCACACTCCTAGCCAATTCCATGGCATCTGCATACTGGCCTTCAAGCTGTTTAAACTGCTTCTGGAGACCAGCGTGTTTTCTGGAGTCACTGTCCACTACATGCTTCCATATACTCAGTAATGACCTTCTTGGTCTCTTCGTACGCTACCGTCAAGTGGCTTCTCCATGCCTTTACATCGTCCTGGTTCGGCACCTCACTCGTTTACTCTACTGTCAAATTTCTCCTGGTGTTCGTAAACACTAAGTATTGTGAGTCTGAGGCTTTTGATTGAGTGGTGGGATTGGGACTGGGAGTGCCTGTGGGATAAAGTGACTGATGGGACCCACCGTGAGTGCCTTGTGCATGGAGTGTAATGTAGCAAACAAAATAAATGGGAGGGATGTTATCAGCTCTCGCTTTTTTCGCGTGAGGTCTTCAAGTTCTGTATCCATTGTGGCTCCGTTCGAACCATCCTCTGCTACAAATGTTTGGGATAACGGTGAGTGGTCTTCGATGTGCATGCCTACTGTCATCCCAACTAACGATAGCTTCCATGTCCCTGGACGGGCACAGCAATTCGTCCAAAGGCAACTGGCTTGACGATCACGAGGGAACTTGTGGAAGCTTATCACTGCTTTGTCCTCCCTTGAGTTACGATATTATAAACAGCCATGCGCACAGCATGCAGTTCTACCTGTGTGTGTGTGTGGGCGATGGCGAAATCAAGCAGCAAAGGGTTCAGGACTTTCGCTCATGGTGACACTGACGTTACGACCAACCTAGCACGCAGCTTTTTTGTGTTGTCGCTGAGATCTCACAACAAATAAAAGCGAACGATTAGGCAGAGATAGATGTCTTGCCAGAAAGGAGGTTACACTTTGATTTATTTAGTATGAAGTGCAACTGGTTTTGTAAGCTTGTACCACAAACTTTACCACATTGCGCCTCTCTGCTGTCTGTGCCTGTCTGCTGTCCGTGCTGATGTGCTGTATGTGTCTGTCTGTGTCTGTGTTGGTTTGTCGGTTTGTGTCTGTCTGTCTGTGTCTGTCTGTCTGTCTGTCTGTGTCTGTCTGTGTCTGTCTGTGTTGGTTTGTCGGTTTGTGTCTGTCTGTGTCTGTATGTGCCTGTCTGTGTCTGTGTTGGTTTGTTGGTTTGTGTCTGTCTGTGTCTGTCTGTGTGGTTTGTTGGTTTGTCGGTCTGTGTCCGTCTGTGTCTGTCTGTGTCTGTGTCTGTCTGTGTCTGTATGTGCCTGTCTGTGTCTGTCTGTGTCCGTCTGTGTGTGTCTGTGTCCGTCTGTCTGTCTGTGTCTGTATGTGCCTGTCTGCTTCGGTTTGTGCGTGTCTCTGCTGTTGTCTGTATCTGATCAGTTGTTCCCGTTGTAGTCAGTGCCACGGCGTACGACCAACTCTATGGATCCTGCAGTATAGGTAAGTGTATGTACGGCTGTGCTGATGCTGCTGCTGCTGGTGGCGGTGGTGGTGGTGCTGCTGCTGCTGGTGGTGGTGGCGGTGGTGGTGCTGCTGCTGCTGCTGCTGCTGCTGGTGGTGGTGCTGCTGCTGCTTCTGGTGGTGGTGGTGCTGCTGCTACTGTTGCGGCTACTGCTGCTTGTGGTGGTGCTGGTGCTGCTGCTGTTGCTGGTGCTGCTGCTGGTGATGGTGGTGGTGGTGCTGCTACTGCTGATGCTGGTGCTGCTGGTACTGGTGGTGGTGGTGCTGCTGCTGCTGCTGCTGCTGATGCTGTTGCTGCTACTGCTGCTGGTGATGGTGGTGGTGGTGCTGCTGCTGCTGCTGATGCTGGTGCGGCTACTGCTGCTGCTGCTGCTGATGCTGCTGGTGGTGGTGATGGTGGTGATGGTGGTGGTGCTGTTGCTGGTGGTGGTGGTGGTGGTGGTGTGTTGTGTCTGCTCTCCGTGTCTTCCCTGCTACTGTGTTACAGTGTAATCATGTTGTGTTTCTGTTGCGTTTCAAAACCATTGCTCAATGACGTAATTAATTGTACAGCCAGCACCACACACAGCCACACCCATGCATGGTCGTGTGGGGGTGTTGAACAGTGCATTGCTGATCCCAGCGTACTCTCATGCATAACTCATACCTTCCATATTTGGCAATGCGCAGTGTAGTTGTAGCCTGGGTATTGGGGTCGAGTTTTGGGCTTTATTGGATGATCGTAGGTATAATATCTGGCATGTTGTATCTGACTGTTTGTCATGTGTGTGTGTGTGTGCGTGCGTCGTGCATGCGCGCATGTGTGTGTGTGTGTGTGTGTGTGTGTGTGTGTGTGTGTGTGTGTGTGTGTGTGTGTGTGTGTGTGTGTGTGCTTACATAATATGTCTGTGTCTTTGTGTCTGTGCCTCAGGCTCTCACGTCCGTGACGCCGCCTGCTATGTGTGCTGGTCGTTTGCCCGGGCGTACGAACCCAAGGACATTGAGCAGTATGTTGATGAAATCGCCAGGTATGTACGATGCAGTAAGCCCGCGGTGCACCTGTCAACTGTATAGGCAAATGTACTTTTATTTTTTTGCGGGAAGATGGGATAAGGAGAGAGGAGAGCAGAGCCGGGGAGAGGGAGAGACACAGAGAGAGAGAGAGAGAGAGAGAGAGAGAGAGAGAGAGAGAGAGAGAGAGAGAGAGAGAGAGAGAGAGAGAGAGAGAGAGAGAGAGAGAGAGAGAGAGAGAGAGAGAGAGAGAGAGAGAGAGAGAGAGAGAGAGAGAGAGAGGAGAGGGAGAGGGAGAGGGAGAGGGAGAACGACGACGATGACAATGACGAGAGGAAAGGAGAGCTCTGCTATTATGCTTGGAGATTGTTTTCAGTCCAGCTTATTACCGCGACTCTTTTTTCAGTTAGTTGAACTTTCCATGCGTGTGCCTGTGATTTCACTGCTGTCTGACGTTGATAGTGTGTTGCCTTGTCTTACACTGCTTCTTGATACTACAGGGCGTTGGTTATCACAACGGTGTTTGACCGGGAGATTAACTGTCGACGTGCTGCATCCGTGAGTCTTTGAGTCTGCGCTGTGTGTGTTGTGTGCGTGTGTGTGTGTGTGTCTATTTTTCTTCTTAGTGCGTCCGTCCATTCGTCTGTGTGTGTGTGTGTCTGTCCGTCTGTGTGTGTGTCTGTGTCTGTGTGTGTGTGCGGGAGGGGGGGGGGGGGCATCAGGATTGGTACTTTTGTCTTCAACCGAAACATATTTGGCAGGATGGAGGGGCAATGTACTGGTCTATATTCTCACAGTGGTCGTTGTTTTTTGCTGCTGCTGCCGCCGATACTGCTGTTACTGCTGTTGCTACTGCTACTATTGCTACTGCTGCTGCTTCTGCTACTGCTGCTGCTACTGCTGCTGGCGCTGCTGGTGCTGCTGCTGCTTCTGCTACTGCTGCTGCTGCTGCTGGTGCTGCTACTGCTACTGCTGCTGCTGCTGGTACTGCACTTCTTCACTTTGCAGGCTGCCTTCCAGGAGAACGTGGGTCGGCAGGGGACTTTCCCCAACGGTATTGACATCGTTACCATGGCAGACTACTTTGCGGTCGGAAACCGACAGAACGCCTACCTGAATCTTAGGTAGGGAAGATCTTAGGTTTCGAAGTCTGTGAAAGAAAATGTTGAAACAGTCTCTGCTGGGATGACAGCTCCACCATAACTCAGTGGTTGGAGTATCGCTGGCCTCAAGCGAAGGTCCCTGGTTCCCTGCCTGAAATTTTAACGAATTCTAGCTGTCAAAAACCGTTGAATGACTGTACATATACCGGTACATGGTTTTGCACATAATGATTTTTAAAAGTCGTTAGAATTAAGTGTTCGTTAACGCTAGTGATCTTACAGCATAAAGGAATCACTATATAAGAGCTCTTCAGTCGCTTTTACCAAATGCACAGGTTTGTGGCAGTAAATCAGTAGTATAAAAAAGCAGAAGGACAAAATGTTACGAGTTATGACTACACTCGGACGTCTCTTATCCGGGCACCTTAGGACCGGGCACTGCCCGTATCTCAGATTTGCCCGTATCTCAGGATAACTCATCTACCATGTATCATATCATTTTTGAAGAAGTTTTTTTGGTGCATATTGCACATGTTCAGGTTACAAAAATAATCCATGGATAAAAATGTATGGATTACACAGGTTGGCAGTGACAAATAAGCACTTGTGCATTCGGAAAAAAAGTTCAACCCCTCAAATTCGAAGCATTTTTGCCATAGGAACTCTAGCTGAGGGTGGCCGGTAGAGAGACGTGCCCGTATCTGAGGCGTCCGGATAAGAGACGTCTGAGTGTACTAGTAACTGTCCACCAGCGTAACCAGATCATAACACAGTCAGCGAGTCATAGTCATAACTCGTAACATTTTGTCCTTCTCCTTTTTTTTACCATAATTAAATTGACTCACCATCCGAGTTCAAAATAGTATGAATACCGTAATTTACGGAGCATAAGGCCGTGATCGTTTGATCGGATCCACTGGATCTGCAGTGGTTGATTGGTCAAATCCGGATCCAGATCCTTCGGATTTGGATCCAGTCAACCCTGCCGCGGGAGCAGGGTTGACTGGATCCATCGGATCCAAATGTGACCTTTGTGCGTATATGGCGGGTAAAAATAATTTTTGTACTCATTGTCGTACGACTAGTCGACTTTTCGTACGACGTGCGTGATCAGTACGACTTTCGCCCTGTTGGGTGACCTGTCAGCGCCATTTTTTACTTCGTCAACATGCCAACAGCCAAGGTCCAAGAAAAAGTGATCGGTTGATTCTGAAGGATCCGACGGATCTGAGAGTTGGATCTGGATCTGGATCCCACCCACATTCCGAGCCTTAGTCGCACTTTGAACACTCAAAATTCACCCAAAGTATTGGGGGGGGGGGGGGGCATACTGTACTGGCAGAAAATTTCGTCGGTCGATAATTTCGTCCAACTCCAAACAAATTGAGTTCGTCCGGTTGTAAATTTCGTCCATGGATCATATTAAAGAGTGTATTGAAAAGCTGGACAAATCGACACTAGTCCGGCATTTATTTAGTCCCGAAGCTCCTCGGATGAAAAAGACGAAATTAAATTCCAGACGAGTATTTCTGCTTAGGGGCCGTCCGTAAATATCGAACATTTTTCACAAAACGAAATAATTTCGTTATGGGGTGGGAGGGGGTTGACCAATTTCGTTTCAGAACACATTGATTCATGTACATGGCTGTTGTTTATGCATGTATGTCAACATTTTTTACGTTCTGAGGGGGAGGGAGGGAGGGGTTGGGTCTAAACTAAAATAATTCGTTTGGTGAAAAAAGTTCGATATTTACGGACGGCCCCTTATACACTGTACTCCGTAAAATACGGTAGCAGTTTTAGGCCCAAAAGAGCCCAGTGTGGTGTGATTGCCATATCTTTTCTTTGGTATAATTATGTTTCAAGCGTCCTATGTGGACAGGTCCAGGGTGAAATAATCAAACGACAGTCAACTTCGCTAATAACGACTGTGGATATAACGACGATTCGCGAATAACGACAGAATTTCCTTGCCCAGAGCAAAGTTCCATCTAACTGTAATACATATAATGAGACTTCGCGTATAAGGACATTTCGCGAATAAGGACACTTTTCTGATGCCCCGCCGAGTGTCACTATACGCAAAGTTGACTGTAAATATACTGTACAACTCCCCGAATCCGAGCAGGTTGGGACCGAGTACTGGCCGTAGCTAGAAATCGCCCGGAACTCAGAACATAATACGATGCCAGAGGCAGTATCTACATGGTGTGAATGCTACAAAAGGGCCATATTGCTACAAACAGGTACTTACCAAGTACGCAGAATGGACTGAAAATACTACGGCTTCAAAAAGCAAGGTACAAGGTGTGTGCGTGCGTGTGTGTGTGCGTGCGTGTGTGTGTGTGTGTGTGTGTGTGTGCGTGCATGTGTATGTGCATATTCTCTCTCTTTCTCAGCGTACAGATAGGCAAGTTTGAGAAGTACTGTGTTCCGTTGATCGAGGCGTGCGTTGGATCCAAGCTCAACCACTGGGACGGGTAAGAGAGCTGTAGATGCACAGCAGATTGCAGTGTAACACTGCTTACGATGTGACGTGTTTTGCCATCAGGGGCATAGCTGGTCCCCCTTTGAGGAGAGTGCACGGCCGCATACAGTCAACTTCGCTAATAACGACTGTGGACATAATGACAATTCGCGAATAACGACAGAATTTCCATGCCCAGAGCAAAGTCCCATCCAACTGTAATACATGTACATATAATGAGACTTCGCGAATAAGGACACTTTTCTGATGCCCCGCCGCCGAGTGTCGTTATAAGCAAAGTTGCCTGTATGTGTATAATGGCTGGTGCATGTCATCCGTCGTCGTTATGTGCATGCTGAGCCTAGGTCGACATTTGGGGGGGGGGGGGGGGGGGGCATGCGCCCTATGCGGGCTACGCGTCTGACCATTGCCTTCTAAAACGGAGAGGTTCCAAGCTGTCCAGTAGAGTGCTCCATGCCGAAAGGGCAGAGCTACTTCCAACAAGGAGACGTGGATGAAGAATGTGTTGTAACTCCGAGTTTCGCGTACTCGGCGATCTTTGTCTCACACACTCATCATCCTCTCCTTCTTCTTGTTGTCATTGCCTTGTATCTTGACCTTATTCCCCAGCCGGTGGTGGTGCTGCTGGTACTGCTGGTGGGGTGGGTGGGGGATGGTAGTGGTGATGATAGTGGTGGTGGTAGTGGTGGTGCTGCTGGTACTGCTGGTGGGGTGGGTGGGGGATGGTAGTGGTGATGATAGTGGTGGTGGTAGTGGTGGTGCTGCTGGTACTGCTGGTGGGGTGGGTGGGGGATGGTAGTGGTGATGATAGTGGTGGTGGTAGTGGTGGTGCTGCTGGTACTGCTGGTGGGGTGGGTGGGGGATGGTAGTGGTGATGATAGTGGTGGTGGTAGTGGTGGTGCTGCTGGTACTGCTGGTGGGGTGGGTGGGGGATGGTAGTGGTGATGATAGTGGTGGTGGTAGTGGTGGTGCTGCTGGTACTGCTGGTGGGGTGGGTGGGGGATGGTAGTGGTGATGATAGTGGTGGTGGTAGTGATGATGGAGCAGGACCAACGGAAGCAGGTTTTGACTGGTCCGACCATACCATCGTCCTTCCCATTGCGTGCATAACGCGGCGGGTACAATCAACCTCCTCAGCATCTGTTCTGTTGATCAGCACTTGGCCTGGTTAGCAACTCTCTTCCTTTGTGTATGTTGTTATTCTGTTGGTGTTGCTGCTGTAAAGGTCTGTCCGTGAGCTGGCTTCAAAAGCACTGCACAACTTAACAGAGATAGCACCGGAGTACATGGCAACATCTGGTGAGTGACAGCTAGAGAAGTAGCATTGTAACAATCTGGGGTGATGGCTGGGCTAGTGGTGCTGGTGGTGATGGCTGGGCTAGTGGTGCTGGTGGTGATGGCTGGGCTAGTGGTGCTGGTGGTGATGGCTGGGCTAGTGGTGCTGGTGGTGATGGCTGGGCTAGTGGTGCTGGTGGTGATGGCTGGGCTAGTGGTGCTGGTGGTGATGGCTGGGCTAG